GAGAGACGAATAAAACAATGGGCTGTTGTCTTCAAAGGATTCGAGAGTTCACCATCACCTGCAACTCGCCTGGAAACACCACCGGTAGCATGCACAGGATTGCATGGCAGTGGACGCCGATCCGCTGATAAAAACAAAAATCTGGAATGCGATATAGCTACGGTAGTCTCTCTGAACTACTGAAAATAGAGACCGTGGCAGATCCGCCCATGCCATTATTGACAAGGTTCGTAAGGAAAGGCATCTGCCGATTGGAAGAAAGGCTACCTTCTCAGGCCACCAAAGAAAGGCGACTTACGCCTCACTCTGAAATAACTGGGGTGGAATAATGCTCTTGTCCATGCCAAATAAAACACGAAGTTGTGTCATCCTGTAGAGAATAAATGATACGCTGGGTGCAGAACTCCGCCAGCTCCGCTGGAACAAGCTAGATTCAGGAAGTGAGAATCAATTGCTGATCAAATTGCAGCTATACGCATCGTCGTCGAACAAAGCATGGAATGACATTCAAACCTGTGCCTTAAATTCAGCGATTCCGAGGGGGCCTTCTACAGAGATGAACGTGAAGTAATTTGGAAACTACCTCGTCAATATGGCATGCAGTGCCCAAATCTTTATCAACCTCATTCAACAGCTGGCTATTTTACTATGCTACGTGTAAAGTGATCCACAGCGGAAGACTCAGCAAGGCGTTCTAAATGAATAGAAGAGTAAGATAAGTCTGCCTGCTTATTATCACCGATGATATTCCTAAATGTGGTGGACTGGATTATGCGCCAGACTGTGGAGAGTGGGGACAGAGGAATACTCCGGGCCACCAATAATGGGACTCCAGCCGATCTGGATTTCGTAGATGATATATGTATAGTGTCACACAAACTTGAAGATTAAGGGCAGGCTAAAACCAACAAACTGGCTGAAGCAGGAGTGAAAGTAAGGCTCCAGCAAAACACAGGGAAGACAGAGGTTAAGATAACCAACGAACCGCAACAACGATAGCCAGAACCAATCACCATCAATGGGAGAGTTAACAGAGGTTACCTCTTTCACTTATCTAGGAAACATCGTTTCAACTACTGGCGGATGGCACGATGAAGATGCAAAAGCCAGCCAGAATCGGAAAGGTAAGGGAAGCCTCCATCAGCCTGAAACCAGTTTGGAAATCTTACATTCAGCCTAAGGAACAAGATTCGGATTTTCAACACAAGTGTGAAGTCAGTCACTTCTTTTAACGGGTCGAAATCTTGGCTAGCGTGTCACGAAAAGGATTTTCAGAAGGTTGCAGACTTTCAACAACAGCCACATTTGCTGGCTCTATACTGAAGATCAAATGGCCAGAGAGAATCGGCAACAAGAAACTCTGACTGGGAACAAACTATCCAAGAACTTATCGTTCAACAAATATGTAGGAGAAATGGAGATGGATAGGGCGCACACTGAAGAGGCCGTCGAGTGACTTCACGCTCCAGGCCAACGCTCGAGTGGAATCCCAATAGGAGGTGACGAGTGGGTCGTTGGGGTTAGGGTGACATGGAGGTGATCGTGCAAGGTCGAGGTTAGAGATTACGGGCAATCGTGGACCCAGCTGGAGAGGACGGCAGAAAATAGAACAAAGTGTATATATGTTCTTGAACCCCTATGTTCCACTCGGAACTCACAGCAATAATAATGATTAATAAGAGGACAGTAGCTTGATCAGGCTGCTCCAAAAGTGTCCACGAAACACATTGCCAGGTTCTGTTTTCATTTGTAAGTTGAGAATATTGGCCCGCCGGTGTAGCTTTTCTACACATCATTTTTTATTGTTTCATCCTTGTTCTCACTCATTAAAACACATCCGTGAATACTGTGAAGTTACAATTACTTTTAAATAGAATATTTATCCACTTCACTTTCATTTATAAGCATGTAAACAATTTCAATAACTATATCATTCGTTTGATATTGATGAGGTATTACGCTTTACATTAACATCGACTATACCCTTCTTTCCTCCACGTTTTCACCATGCTTGCTGTGACGACCTGAAATATTCACACGGAAGTCTTACACAACAATCAGCTGCCGGTGGATGATGGCAAGCAGAAGCTGACAGACTCTACCAGTGAATCTTCATCACCGGTGATATAGCACATAAACCTCTCGACCGAAAGTATTCCGATCCCGATATCCCAGGTGCCTATACCCATGTCATTCAATTTTTTCCAGATATTTTCCGATCCAGGCTTCACCTCTTTTGCGAGATCTCAGAAGTTTCACATCAATACGGATGGCTCATCTTTGGACAGTAAGCCAGGGCGACTATATCCGGAAGAAATTAAGACCGCTAAGAATGATATCTCACCCTAGATTTGGTTACCGAAAACAGTGGTGAGGACTTGGGGCTTTTTGAGAAACATTAGAGGCACATTATCTAGACGGATCCAGGTAGTCAGCCAGTTCCACACATGCATTATTTCGTTAAGATCTTCAAATATAAATTCGGTAATATTTGAAATGTGACTATCGAAACAACTCGGCTCATATTGATGATGCTCCGAAGACTGCAGTCAGAAAAATTTCCAGCCATTTCCCGTTTATTCCCGCGAAATCTGGTCAGGAAGTGCCACGTGAAAACTTCGCCTCCAAATGTACTGATTGCAGTTACGAAAGTTTTGAATTGGAGGCGTATGTGGTCATGTGGTTCATGGCCATCGTGATATCTGATGCTGTTTTAACCTGTAACCACATTGAATGTTCATTCCCTTGAATACTAGTAAACCTTCGGTGGGTAGGTGCATAAGCAAGTATATGAAGCAGCTAGCAGGCTAACAGATTTACCTACTGATCAAGAGTGGGATCTTTGGTGTGATACTTTGAGGATGACTGGTGCGAGTATCATTACGTGTGTGTGTTGCTGTCAAATCGTTTCTTGTTTTCTGACAGTTTTACACTACAACTGTTGCAGGATGATGTAGGTATCTTCTATGAGCTGTGATCTGTATCGCTTGATTAGTTGGCTTGATGGACGTTGTAAGTAGAACGAGGGAGTGTTTGGCCAAACAAAGCATGACGTGAGAGTATTCGGTTTCTCATACATTATACCTCATGATGTCAGCGAGCTTGGGTCACTGTAGACTACAGATGGGTGTTAGCGATTTAAACTGGTCACCCACCGAGGATTTCAATTTCAGTCGTTCACATTTACGACGGACGATATTGGCGTGCGTGTGAAAGCCACCATTCTTGTTTGTGATTAACTTAAGACAGAAATATTGAGGATTTAAGAGGGTTGAGTGAACGTCAAAATGTTATCTTATGTCTGCATTGTGGTATCAAATGTGCAATTGCACGGGCTTTAAACCAATAACACATTGCCACATTTGTCAAACTTAGATGAATCCAACTTTCGAAGTAGGAGACTCACTTTCCAAGAATCATCTTGGTCAGCAAAATCTATTTTGAAATTGTCTATGTATTGCCTGAAGCAAGTATCGAATGTGACACTGACATCAGGATCACATTGGATGATGCTCCGAAGACTGCAGTCAGAACACTTCTGGATCTTTCTAGTTTCTTCACGCGAAATCTGGTCACGCAGTTACTCGTGAACACCTTAGTGTTTTTATTCATGGTGCACACGTTCTTCGTGGAGTAGGTTATATTATTATATTATATTATTAATAACTTGCTTTGCCTAGAAACGTGTGCAAAGATTTCGGGAACATTGCTTGGGGGAAGATTTATTTCACCTGTTTGGCTGATTACCATGAGCTTCTCCATCTGAACCTGCTATCTAAATATATATATATATTCAGTAGATGCATCTAACGTGGCTAGTGAAGCCATCTGATAACTTATGATGGACACAAAAACACTGCATACATTCTTTTCCAGGAGACCATCCGAATGCAAAACACGGTGGGAGAAATTCAGTATCGAAAGATTCTTCATCTGTGCTCCCACGGAACTCTTGTAATTTCTCCAAAAGCCGTCAGCTCACTGTCTCCAATGTTCCTAAACCTTCAAATACGCGTTTCACACCGCTGAGATTAAGTACTCCCCGTGTGAGTTACGCTGTCGGGACTACGTTTCACAATCTACGTTGGACATCTGTCGTGTTTCCGGTGTGAATAGCCCTGTGGTAGATGCATTGTCTTAAGTTTGTACCATGGCAGTTCATCCAACTACTATCTTGAGGAAAATAGCCGAAATTGTGACTTGGGGTATGGCTTTAGGCAAACTGCATCAGATGAAGTTGTGTCAGAGAGGTGAATGTCATTATGTGCTCTGTTTGATGAAGATGTACAGTGCTGTGACTTAATTCGCACACGGTTATGCTCTTCCTCCATCCACCTTGTACTGGGCAGAATTTTGAATGGAGAGCATCTCCTAGTTTTGTATAGTGTGAACAGAAGCCCTATTTCTTGCAAAATCTTAAGTCGCATTTCCCTGACTGACGTTCGGTCGATACTGTCACTTCTTTGCAAACTTTCTATAATAGACGCGTGGAGATGTCCGTTGTGATCTCTGGGTCCTTTTTCAATGCTTCCTGGGGATTTTCGTCTGACCCCCCTTAATTCCTAGCTGGTTTTCAGTAACTTTACATCCTACAAAATATCTGCTTTCGTTAGAGGGCTGATGTTCTCAGACACCCCTGTATCTGTCAACGGTACTTCTAGATGGGTTGCAGGTAATGATCAGATGCAGAGTCTGTATTCGTTTTGTAACCAAGAAATGCCTACGTGCAAATTAATGCATCTCAGATGCCGTAAATTTACTGTTTTCTGCCGTAATAAATGGTGAGAAGTTTGCATTGGGTTATTTAAAGCAATTTTTCTCACTTTTATTGCTGAAGTGCTCAATTCGGAGATTCACAATTGAGTGAGAAAACAGCATCGTCTGGCTCGTGTGAAAAATCCAGTGCTTTTTGTTTTCTAGCCACTACTCAGTCATGGGGCTAATAATGTTTTATAAAACTGCAGTCAAGGCACAAAAAGAGCTTACTGCAGTCCAACTGATGAGAATTCAGTTATTGAGGTTCCAATGGTTTCGTTTGAATGTTCAATTTTTCGTACAAAGCGAATTTGTTTGTCTGTGTACGCTCGCGTTTTGGTTAGTTGACAAGCATGCAGCGTTTAACGTTGAGGCGAAGACTGTCGTACAACACCAACTCCAACAAAAGGAAGAAGTAAGTTACACATGTTGTGTTGTTGTATTTCTGTGTTACACCCTTCAATTAACCCTTTTTGGAGAGCAGTTTGATGGACATCATCTCCCTGCTCTCAATATTCATGGGGTAAAATCTACAGCCATATACTGACCGAGCTCCGGCACGGTAATCACTTGGCTAACACTATTGTTCAATGACAGCCGGAATGTTTTGTGAGCCGTTTCACATTCAGTTATGTTTAGCTGGACAATTTCTACCAATGTACTTCGACATACTGTTGATACAGGTGAGATCGGTCACTGCACGCGTGACACTTGCTTTAGGACTTAGTGGTTTTGTTGCTGCACACAGTAAATTCTATTTGCCTGCTTTTGATAAACAGTCCATGATCGAAAGTGATTCCTCCCACCCATTGCTTGAGATGTGTCAAGCTAGTTAGTGGAGGTACAGTAAATGAATAGTGACTGCATACCGCCTAAAAGTGGTACAGCAGTTATATTCAACAGAAACAAAATAGTAGCTAGCCTTGAATTAGTTTTATTTTGTGCTAGGTTGGGACAATACTAGTCTTAAATAATATATTTTTTTCTCGGTTCTTTCTGTTCTCAGAGTCAAAACTCCTGGAGGAAAAGTTGTCTACATATATGTGAAGAAGCGAGGGACATTTCCTAAATGCGGGGACTGCAAAATCAAACTTTTTGGTATTAAGCCTTCAAGACCTCGAGAGAGGACTTCAATGAGCAAACGATTGAAGACTGTCAATCGACCTTATGGGGGATCACGATGCCACACCTGTGTTCGCAATCGGTAAGTCGTCACTCATGTTAAACCTTCTGATAGTGTAATACGTGCATTCATGATGGAGGAGCAAAAAGTGCTCAAACAACTCGTCAAGGAGCAGAAGAGAAGAGAAAAGAAAGCGAATCCTGTAGAACACAAGAAAAAATAAAAAAGAATTGATGTGACGGTATTGAGCGCTTTTTTTATCTTGTTTTGAACCTCAGTGTATTCCACTGGTGTGCGCGAGTGTACCGTTTTGTGTGTCTTTGTAATTTTGTCGTGATGTAGAATGCAATTGTCATAAGTCCACGTCGGTTATGGGAAGTTTGTGCTTGTGTCCCAATAGACGTGTTGAGGATGCATTCGAATATGTCAGTAATGTGACATTCGCCAATCAGGTTACGACGCATTTCTAGGTTTTCCTTGACTTATGTGAATAATTGCTACTTCGTATGTGCAACCAGACAAAGTTTGGAAAAATCATGATAATACTTTCGTCAGTGAATACAAAATCTTTTATGATAGTGAGCAATCTATGTAATTCAGTACCAATTGACTGTCTGTATGATAGGTGTGGTTGTATATTTGCCTGATGCTGTGCAAGTGATCTTATGTGCCATTTGAAAGTGTTGGCCACTGCAGTCGATGCGAATTTGGTTTGGCGTGTTGATATTTGAATGTGAAGTGTCGTGCAACTTCCTTTTTGGGGTGTGAATGGAACATTCATCTGGGTTGGGCGGATTAGTCATGAAGGGAGTCAGTCCGTTCATGACAAAGCTGTAGTGAATGAGAGTCGTTCGGCATACACATTTCTGGGGTGGCTGCATGCAATATGAGGCCTGATTTCTTTGGCGTCACGTCATCAACCACACACTGTAGGCATGGAAGGTCATTCAGATACCTAGTCTGGAGAAAGTTTTAACAATTTCGTGATTCATATTCGTTCCCCTAGATGAGTGATTTAGCGTCGCTGTTTACAAACACTTCTAGCGATGACAGCTCATCGAATGCAGTAAGTGTTCTTGAGGAACTATTAGCAATCGATCGGATCGTAGATGAGATGGGAATACCACACTATTCAACAATAGTGTGGTATCCTGATTCTTGAACGTGCTTGTTGGACTTATTATGAATCATCTTATTCTTGCATACGTCCGGATTATTTGCATCTTGCGAACTGGAAGCCAGTGTGATCGTAGAATATCCCATATAACAAAATTAACTACCTCCAAGTTGTCACCATTGTAAAGTAGAATTATTTTATTATCGTTATAGTAGACAAGTAGTAAACAAAAATTTTAGCGTGCAGTTTAATTATGCACTGGAAATCCGTTCTGTTGCATATTGCCTTTTTAATAGGCTAATTAAAAAATTTGTTTCTTCGAAAACTAAACGCACGTTATGGATGACCACAAGTCGAAAGAGAACACAACGATAGGGGGAGTATGTCATCTGGTACTGAATGAAAGTAAAAGGGTGTAATAGCCAAAATTGTCGGTGTGGTTTTCTCAAAAAGGCAGAATCAATCGGAAGACTGAGTATATTGTCCCATCATCAGTACTCCGACTTTCAGGAGGAAATACCTGAGGCGGACCGAGATGCACACTAAGTATTACGTGTGCCTAGATGACCGATGTTGAGGGAGTGGTTCATTGTTACGGGGAATATCAGCAGCACTCACATGGCTTATTTTCCTTACTGTACAGAATATATCTAGTAGTATATACAGTATACGACAGAGAACAGGCAATTAAGCATTGGGGAAATCCTAGCTTTCCCATTTAATGTACATTAGTACTGGGTTTGATTGCATACAGTAGTGTTAATGGTAACTCTGATAGACCGGAGATCTTGTTTCACGTCCACAATATATAGTAAATTGCTTTAATATAGTAATATTGCAGTGCCGCCTCATGTACTGATTGCAGTTTTGAATTGGGAGGCGTAGGTGGTCATGTGGTTCATAGCCATCGTGATATCTGATGCTGTTTTAACCTGTAACCACATTGAATGTTCATTCCCTTGAATACTAGTAAACCTTGGTGGGTAGGTGCATAAGCATATGAAGCAGCTAGCAGGCTAACAGATTTACCTACTGATCAAGAGTGGGATCTTTGGTGTGATACTTTGAGGATGACTGCTGCGAGTATCATTACGTGTGTGTGTTGCTGTCAAATCGTTTCTTGTTTTCTGACAGTTTTACACTACAACTGTTGCAGGATGATGTAGGTATCTTCTATGATCTTCGTGATCTGTATCGCTTGATTAGTTGGCTTGATGATGGACGTTGGAAGTAGAACCAGGGAGTGTTTGGCCAAACAAAGCATGACGTGAAAGTATGCGGTTTCTCATACATTATACCTCATGATGTCAGCGAACATGGGTGATTGTAGACTACAGATGAGTGTTAGCGATTTAAACTGGTCACCCACCGAGGATTTCAATTTCAGTCGTTGACATTTACGACGGACGATACTGGCGTGCATGTGAAAGCCACCATTCTTGTTTGTGATTAGCTTAAGACAGCGATATTGAGGATATAAGAGGGATGAGTGAACGTCAAAATGTTATCTTATGTTTGCATTGTGGAATCAAAGGTGCAATTGCACGTGATTATCCAATTCGGGTTCCGCTGTTGAGACAAGCTGATGTGGGGTGTTGTTACTGAGAATGGTCTCCTGGTTGTATGTCCATTCCAACTCCCATTCCTACGACATATTTGTTCGACGTTAGGTCGTTGTCAGAGTTTTCTTGTTGCATTACATTGTCTGACTGTGGGAAAGCATCAGTTGATGAGGGAGGCGGTTAGGGGGTCTGACATTACGGCCTCTGCCAATTTTGCACACGATTTTATGTGTGTCGACTATAATATTGGCGAGCTGACGCAGTGGCATACCACAAGCCCTACTCACAGCATTTAATACCCTTCGTAATATGATATACTCTTTTTTGAGAAGCCCAGGAAAGATTAATGGAGAGCAATAGAGTACAATAGGTAAAATACAGGAGTTTACAAACTGCAGAAGTAAAGGTTGGTTGATACCTGATTGTCTTAACTTTTTAATGTAGAAGGTTGTAGACGAAACATTTTCTTAGAGATTGATTGATAAGATGTGGGATGACCATGAGAGGTCAGAGAGGAAAGAACTAATCCAAGGTATTTAATGCTTGACTTGGTTTCAATTTCAGTGCCATCTATGTGTGCTACAGGCATCATGGGAACTAACTAGTTCATGTATGTCACGTCGATGCTTGAAAGTAAAGTTAACTGGCTGACATTTGGAAGGATTTAACATAAGACCATTAGACTTAGACTTCGTTCGTGAATCACTTGGCATGTGGCACCATCACCAGTTGGCTGTTGAATGAGTTTGATTAAGGTTTCATGTACTCTCTGTAGTGTTGAGTCAGTCAGAGATTACTTCATGGTAGACTGTACAATGTTTTTTTCCAAAGTTGAAGTCGAGGTGATTGGGTCCGGAGATGATTTTTTTAATTTTCCTGAATCTTCCAGCTGGTTCCGGGCGGTGTTATGCACCCAGAGCAGCATCTTTCAGTCTCTCTGGGATGACACTGCCTATTAATATTTGGTGGTTGTAGTGCACAGGAGGATGATTCAACACTTAGTTCTTGCTGGAAGTTTTAGTCGACCTCCTTTGGCAGTTTGACAAGTTAGCCATTCTTCCAATTGACAGGTAGCTTCCCCCCCTTTGCAAACCCTCTCTTCAGAGGTATTATTATTATTGTTTCCTTTAATTCCTAGAGGATCATAGGGCTTCAGCCGTGCGTCTCCATTGCGTTCACTCTTCTGCTAGAGTTTTCACCTGGCTCCAAGTCTGTCCACACGCTTTCATCTCCTCTTCACATGACCTCCTCCAAGTCACCCTCACACTGACGACCAACTCGCCTCTTCCCTTTCGGGTTCCACTCGAGCAATGGCTTGTCTAGTGATGTCACTTGATGGTTTGCTCAGAGTATGGCCAATCCATCTCCATTTCTTCCTGCCTATTTGTTTCACAATCGGTTCTTGGTTGGTTCGCTCACAGAGATCCCTGTTGCTGATCTTTTCTGGCCATCTGATCTTGAGTATTGAGCGAAGACAACTGTTAATGAAGGTCTGTAGTTTGTTTGAGATGCTCTTTATGACGCGCAGTGCAAGTCTCTGATCCGTATAGAATAGCACTGACTGACTTCACATTGGAGTTGAAAATCCGGATCTTATTTTCGATGCTGAGTGCTGTTGACCTCCACACAGACTTGAGAGTAGTGAAAGCTTGTCTTGCTTTTCCGATCCTTGCTTTGATATCCTTGTCAGTTCCGCCTGTAGTTGAAACGATGCTTCCCAGGTAGGTGAAGGAGGTTGTTTCTTTCAGGTTCCTTCCATTTATGCTGATTGTTGTCTGTTGTTGTTGTTCTTGTTGTGTTGGCCAGGAATCTTCATCACCTCTGTTTTCTCTATGTTCACCTGAAGTCCTATCTTTGATGCTTGTTCTGCCAACTTGTTGCTTTTCACTTGCATATCTTCCAGTTTGTGGGAAATCAGACATACATATATCACATCGGCGAAGTCCAGATCCTCCAAGTTTTTGTGTGAGTCCATTTTATGCCTGTTTCCTCATTGCCCGCTGTTTGTCGCATTATCCAGTCTACTGCAATCAGGAAAATCATTGGCGATAGTTCGTCTATTGGAGCATGTGTCAAATTTAGGCCCATTGGTATTACCTCTTCTTTTTTGAAAACTATGGAGAAATTACTTACTTACGTAGTCTTGTACCTTCCTTCGCTTAAATCCTTTAATGACCGTAAACAATTTGCCTATTAGCACAGTAGAAGCACTTTAGATGCAGCTGCCGTCTTATATCATAACATTGCTTCCAGTCTAGACAAGGGGACTAAATTTGTTCACTGTACCTTACTAGACTATACATCTGCTTTTGACTCGGTCCCTAGGGACATCTTATAAAAATAAACTTGCTGCAAGTCAAACAGAATGTTGGGCTGTTAACTGGTTACTTTCCTATTTCTCAGAAAGAAAGCAGTACTCCGTGTATAAAGGGAAGTCTTCCACTTCATTGCCTACTGAAGCTGGTGTCCTTCAAGGCGCTGTCCTTTCTCCTTTTCTTTTTTCTTTCTTCTTACATGACTTGCCTCAGTCTGATGAAATAAACTTTGTGAAGTACGCTGATGA